TATCCTTCATGAATCTTAATTGTGACGTAGATGACCAGTTTTTGACAAAATAGGAGAAGAAATTAGTCGAAATATGCATAAGTTGACTCAAATTATTCCTAACCGTTAAATTAAAAAAAATAATATGAAGCTAAATGAGAATCATTTTCAATTTGTGTTATTAATGTTGACCCATTATTTCACAATTGTTTCTTATTTTGGTTTTTTTTTTTTTGGGAAAGTATTGTTTTTTTATTTTGTTATTTTGATGAGAAAGAAAAGAAGTGAGAACCCTTGTATTTGTTTTTCTTTTTCAGTACATTAGGGAGAAAATGTATTCCAAAAATAAGAAACTTTTAGAGAGAGAAAAAAAAACACACACACACACACGATATTAAATTAACTTTTTGAGGTGAGGGTCATCACAGTAGCTTCCTGTTGGGGTCCTCGAGCATTGCACTGCTGCCTCGACGTAGTGAACCCCACCAAAAAATAGTTAAAAAAAGGATAAATTTAATTGACACTTCCGTTATTTAAGTTATATTTTAATGACACTCCCACTAGTTTTGGAAATATCACTGCACACCCCTGTAATTTATATACACGTTTCACAAACGACTCCTGTTGTGTTGTGATAGTTTATTCTCCTATGAATTATCAAATTTACTCTTGACCATATAAAATAAGTATAAAATAATAGTAAACATCATTTTAATATTAATTTAATTAAATTAATAAAATATTTCCTAAAACAATATATCAAACAAAATGTTAATTTTAAAAGATCATATTAATTTGACAAAACTAAATATTAAATTCAAAAAATTGAATGTAAATTTTATAAAATTGAATGACCATTTGGTATTGATTTGATGAGATTGAATGTTAATTTGAAATTCAATCAAAAAAATGATGTTAGTTTGATAAATTGAACATTAAATTGATAAAATTAAATGTTAATTTTATATTAATTTGAGGAAATTGAATATTGATTTGGTGTTAATTTTATAAAATTAAATATCGATTTGATAAGATTAAATATTAGTTTGTTAAAATAAAATGATTATTTTTTAAATTTAAGATCAATTTCACATTAATTTGGTAAAATCTTGTATTAATTTGATGAAATTTAATGTTAATTTGATAAAATTGAAAGTTAATTTGGTGTTAAATAGATCAAATTGAATATTAATTTGATAGTTAATTTTATGAAGTTTAATGTGATTTTGATAAAATTGAATATTAATTTGGTGTTAATTTCATGATATTGAATATTAATTTGATATTAGTGTAATAAAATTGAATGTTAATTTGATGAATTGAATGTTAATTTGATGAATTGAATGCTAATTTGATGAATGTGAATGTTAATTGGGTGCTAATTTGATGAAATTAAATATTAATTTAGTGTTAATTTGATAAAATAAAATATTAATTGAATAAAATTGAATAGCAATCAAATAAAATTAAATGTCAATTTAATGTTAATTTGATAAAACTATAGTGTATTAATTTGAGTAAGTGTAATTTAATAAAATTACTTATTCTTTTAGGGAATAAAAACTAACACGAGTATGTAGTGATATTTAAAAAATTAAAGAGGATGTCAATAAAATATAATTTATTTCTAAGGAATATTAATGAAATTTATCCCTCAAAAACACAAATATCTAGTGCCGACACTCATAACCATCGATACATACTCCTTTATTCTTACATACATATAATTACAACACCACCCACTCCTATATTACTAACTTATAGGGGGTGCAACTTGGGTTGAGTAATCCAATTTTAACTCGAGCTCGACCCGAAAAAATTAGGATTTGGATAAGAATTTTTAATACTTAGGTTGGACTTGGATTAAAAAATCTCAACCCAAATTCAATTTGGATTGAGCTCGAGTTAATGCCTTGGGTTCACAGATTCAACCCAAACCCGACAAATTAAAAAAAATTATATATATATATATATATATATATATATATATATATATATATATATATATATATATAAAGTATTAACACTGGTTTTTCATTTTTATTTTATCGTTCTCTGTCTCTCTCGTTTATTTTTATTTTTGTTCTAGCATTTGTACTGTTAAAAACTTGGTTGAAGTTATTAGTTGTTAATTTAGGTGAATATTATATAATATATGTATTAAGTTTAGAACAACAAGTCTATTTTAAACTCTACTCAAACTCAATCCAAATTGAACCCGTAAAATAATTCGAAATTAGCCCGAAATTATTACCTCGAATTCAATCCGAGCCCATCCGAATTAAATTCGGACAGTGCTCGATTTGAGTTCCTCAACTCGAGGTAGGGTTAAAATTAATATTAGAATTGAAGATTATATATTTAAGGTTGGACTAGAATTGATTGTTCAATCCGCTCAAATTATACCCTTGAGTAATGATAGATGTACTTAAAAACAAGACTTAATAATCTCAACCATTGAATAGGTAGTGAGTTCCAATATTTATTATGACCCACAATAAAATAAATGATTAAAATTATCAAGTTTATTTTTTAAGGTTATGTAACATTACTGTTACACCCCTGCTAACTTATACAGATCCTGATTAACAATTGATTTAATAACCACGGTGTCTACCGTTAATGTCGGGAGCAGGAAACGTCAAGTTGCTCTCTCCGTAGTAGTGTCGGACCCCCTCTTCAAAAACAAAAAACGACTCCTGTACTAGTCCGAAATAAAAGAGAATCTGCTTCTGACATCAGTCCTTTCTACAGTGCCTGCGAAAGAGGACACCTGTTGCCTTGTAATCAACAACGGACTAATCATAGTCTTCCACGTAGACTGCACTCACTCCCCCTCCCTCCCTTATCCAACACAAGCTTCCATGTAATTAAACTTTTGCCAGAGCAATAGTAAAAACTTTTTTATTTTGGAATAATTATATTGGATCTTTTTAAATTTGTCACTTAATCACTCAAACCCCTTAATATTTGAAATATTACACACAAATATCTTAAAGAGTTTACGTACTTAATACTTAAACCCTGATGTAAATATATTATTTAATAAATTATACTTAAACCTCCTAAAATTTATAAGTATATAATACTTAGACCCCTTAAGTTTAAAATATTATACTTAGACCAAAAATACTCCAATCAAAGATAAAAATATCAAATATTTTAAATTTTACAACTAAAATTCATGTTCTATTCTATCATTTATTGAAATAAAATCAAAAATAAAAATTCAATTTTTTTTCTTAAAAAATCATAATTAACTTATAATTATATTGTCTATTACAATTTAATTTGGTCGTTTAAACAATCAAAGTAAATATCAAACCATCTCAATTAAAGTTAAAAGATATTGTGTTCATTACAGTTTGACCCCTTGTTTAATTTTTTAGTTTTATTCTAATAGATAGTATAATTATATACTAACTTTGATTTTTTTAAAAAAATTAGACTTTTGTTTTTGATTTTATTTCAATAAATGAAATAATAAAACATGAATTTTAGATGTAAAATTCATGTTCTATTATGAATAACTTAGACTCTTTATTTAATTTTTTAGTTTTATTTCAATAGATGGTATAATTATATACTAATTACGATTTTTTTTAAAAAAATAAATTTTTAATTTTAATTGTATTTCAATAAAAGATACAATAGAATATGAATTTTCTTTGTAAAATTTAAAATGTTTGATATTCTATATTTGATTAAAGTATTTTTGATCTGAGTATAATATTTTAAACTCAAGAGGTCTAAGTATTATATAATTACAAACTTTAGAGGGATCAAAGTATAATTTATTGAATGATAAATTTACATCAGGGGTCTAAGCATTATGTGCGTACAAACCTCAGAGAGTCTGTGTGTAATATTTCAAATGTTAAGGAGTCTGAGTGATGAAGTGACAAACCTCAAAGGATCTTGGTGTAATTCTCCCTTTTATTTTCCCCATCTTTTCTTTCCCAAATTAGATTGAAAATGATAAATTTGATTAGGGTTTTACAATTTTAAACATAATTTTTAAATTGGATACAAAATTAATGTATATATAAAATAAACGAATGGACTTATTAAACTTAAATAAATTGAATCAAAACAAAATTAGAAACAAATTATGTATGTCTTACTCGACTCAAAAATCATGACACGACTAAATTTTTAGACTATTCAAATTTTAATAGGACTCGAATTTAAGGCTCAAAATTCTGATTAGTTAGATGGTTTTTTTTTTTTGATCAATATTAGTTTAGATGGTTGAATGACATACTATTCCATAAATATGCTATATAATCAAAATTAATGATCGAATTAGATAAATTATTATTAGCAAAAATTACTTAAAAGTAGATCCTTTAAGTCAATTAGATTAAGATAGAATACGAAGACTTAATCCTATGGGGTTTGCTCGAGACTTAATCTTAAGGGTTGTTCAAGTGGTAATAAAGATGAATTGTAAATTCAAACATCTTAAATTTAATTTTTAATTATTCATTGAAATTAGACAATGAAAAATTTGTTTCTCTTGAATACCTTAGTTACCGCATAAATAATCTATCTTTAATTTAGACACCCTTTACCGTTACGAAAAAAAACAGAGAATACAAAGACATACCACACCATCAACGTGACAAAGTCACGGGAGGAATTCTGCAGTATTTCCCTTGATTTTCGCATTAATACATGTCACTATTGCTGCATGAAAGCCATTTGTCTTGGCACTGAAAGCTCAGTCCCCACTACCCTACACGCTTCTGTGAGTTGTTTGTTGCTTATAAATAGAAACCCATTACAGATAATCTAGATTCCCTCTACCACTCAACACTCTTTCCTTCATCCCACCACCCATCCCATACCTTTTTCATCTATCACACCCCCAAAAAAAAAACAAGCAGAAGCCATCCATACACCACTGCTGCTGCTGCAGTTTTATGGGTGGTAACCACCCCCAACAACAACTGCATTTCTTCTCTCTTACCTCCATTTCCCTGTCTAGCCTACTGCTGCTTCTATTCCCTCCACCAACCCACCCACCCACCGCCACCACCAACACCGCCTCTTCTTTATTGATCAAAGTTGTTCAGAAGGCCAACAATCTTTATGGATCCATTTTCTACCACCATTCTGACCCTTCTCGTGCTCTCCATTAGTAGAGGTAATTAATACTCACGTCTATTTTGAATGCTCCTTAATTATAATTTCTGTCACCAGCACAAACAATGATCGAAATTTTGCCATAAAACAAGAAATTTCTGGGTTCTGTTGCCATTGCAGGTGTTTCAGGAGCTAAATTTACCTTCACAAACAAGTGTGACTACACAGTGTGGCCTGGAATTCTAGGAACCCCAAGCTTAGACAGCACAGGCTTTGAGCTAACCAAGGGTAGTACCCGATCCTTCCAAGCTCCAACCGGATGGTCTGGCCGGTTCTGGGGCCGAACCGGGTGTAACTTCGACGGCTCCGGTCAGGGATCATGCTCCACCGCCGACTGTGGCTCAGGCCAAATCGAGTGCAATGGCGCCGGAGCCACCCCTCCGGCGACCCTGGCAGAGTTCACCCTCGGGTCGGGTTCTCAGGACTTCTACGACGTCAGCCTCGTCGACGGGTACAATTTGCCCATGGTCGTTGAAGTGAGTGGCGGGTCGGGTAAGTGTGCATCCACGGGTTGTATTGAAGACTTGAACCGAAAATGCCCATCGGAGCTGAAGGTTGAGGGTGGCGGGGCTTGTAGAAGCGCGTGCGAAGCTTTTCGGACGCCGGAGTACTGTTGTAAAGGCGACTTCAATTCACCGGCGGCTTGTGCGCCGTCGGTGTACTCGCAAATATTCAAGTCGGCGTGTCCGAAATCGTATAGCTACGCGTACGATGATACCACGAGTACCTTTACGTGTACGAATGCTGATTACACCGTTATATTTTGTCCGTCACCCTCGAGGTATTTGTAGCATCAGAATTACTATTTAAATAAATTACACTCACATCCCCTAATAAATAAAAAAAACCTAAAACGCAACATGAACTTACTTACTAACTTACTAAATACGGCTTATAAATAACTTATAAATATCACACATTGCAAAACACGACATGAACCTAACCCACACGATTATAACTAATTAATTGAGTATGAGTTAAATGAATTTTAACATAACACGACACGATTTATTGACAAACTCGAAAATAATTATTACCAAGCATCCAAACATGAACACTCCGAAATTTTGGATCACTTTTGAAATGGGAGGAGATGATGATGATATCGTTTTTTAATGCACTATTTTAAGTCTTGGTTTATTTGCACGTTTTAATTTTGGAGAATTAACATGGGGAATGGTTTGCTTTTGCAGTTCAAAAGCTTCATCAAAATCAACGGGTACAGCTGATGGGTCAGGGTCGGTGGAGGAGGCTATTTTGGCTAATGGGTCATGGATGGCAAATTTGGCCACAGGGGACTCAACTAGAAGACATCCTTTGGATGGTGTTCAATTTTTTGCAGCCATTGTTGCTGCTGTATCTCTCACACTATCATTTATGCAATTGTAATCTCCATTGTTTCCCTATCTTCCATTGACAGTGCATGATCCAATATCAGAGAGAGAGATGAGACGTAGAATCAAAGATCTGACAGAACATGAGATACTGGGTGGGCGTCATTCGGGTTAGGGAAGTTGACAAAAACCATACTGTAAGCCACCCACTTGCCAGTTCTCCATATATTGGTGATTAATTACATAATAAATGTGAATATACATAAACGTTTCATATGGTTTAAGCATTAGCTTTAGTGTTTTATTGCTTTTTCATAATAAGACAGCAGTACTACGGGAATCAAAGCAAAAACAATGAAGAAAAAGGACAAGAAAGAACTCTTTTGTGTAGCAATTTGATTTATTTAAATCACTTTAGTAATTAGTAAAGAGAAAAGTGTAAGCTTTTAAGGTCAATCTTAGTCTCTTACCAAAAGGTCACTATATGTGGGAGTCACAATCTCAGAAGTTTGTCTGCCATGGACGATTGGGTTGGGTTAATCGATTGCCTTTCCCATTGCTTTAAGCTGTGTGTTTGCTGTCAAAAGCAAAATGATGGTACATCAATGGCTCAAGCTTATGAATGAAGCGTCCATGAATTGGACAATCATTGTGGAAGGAAAATAACCTCTTTATGTCCATTAAAAAAGAAAAAAAAGGCTCAATTAACTTTTTGTAGTTGATAATAGTTTCTTTAATGGAGTAAATACAATGATTAAAATTTTGTTTCAAGATAACCGAAACGTATCCGTTTTCAAAGAGACCAAAACGAATCAATGATGAAATTAAAATTCTAATACTTCAAAGTCTTTTATAATGTTTTAAAACATTTACACAATTGTTTCAAAAGGTTTCAAGATATTTTGATATATTTCTACTAATATTTTTAAAAAATAATTCTTAAATTTTTTATTCGTTTTTATTCTATTTTCAAAACAGGTCAAAACATTTTTAAAACAAACTAAAACATTTTTATTTCCTAAGTAACTAAAATGATGTATCAAAACAAAATCCTTGTAAATATGGGCAAAAAATCTTATAAACTCATGGGTAAAGAGGATACATTTAAGATTTCATCAATTGTTTATCAAAGTGGAGAATAATTAAAGTAGTGACACAATTAGGGAGAACTGTGTAAGATATTTCAAGAGCTTGTGAGATTTTTTGAGAAAGGCAAAAAGTATATAATCTCAAGGTTTCTCAACCCAAACTTTTTGGGTTTTTTTGGATGTGGGTATATTTTTTTTTAAATTTATTTAAAAGGAAGTGTATGGATAAATATTTTACTCTAATAAGTTTAATTTTAATAAAATATCTTATGATTAGGTACAAAAATTAAATGACATTTGAATTTTTTACTTGGTTACCATTTCTTAAATTATGCATAATTTTTATTCTTTCCATCTCTCTCCTCTCTCTCTCTCCACCCATTACTCTCCCACTATGTTTTCCCTATTTTCTCTCCATCTCTCTCTCTCTCTCCCCCATTACTCTTTCTATCTCTCCCTTATTTTCTCTCTCTATCTTCCATTGATAATTTATTTTCTTTTCAAATTTGTAAAAATTTGATTTAATTTTTTCATCTCTTATTTTTTTCTCTCTCACTCTCTCTCCCTATTTTATCTCACAATTACTTTCTCTCCTTATTTTCTCTCTCTTTGTTTGTATCAACGTTACAACAATACTATTAATCAACTACACCAATCAATTACAATTGTCTTGTAATACATTAAACAACTACTCATGTATTCTAATAAAATCAAACAGTTATATTAAATAATTATAAAAAATTATGACACTAATTCAATTTATCATTCAGTTGTTTACATAAACTAAAGAGTTGCACCATTTAGTGTCACGATATGATTACACTAATTATATACACCAAATTTAATATAATAGTATCTGAAACAGCCCTAATATAATCTTTTCCCTATTGAGTTGCATGTGTTTTCAGATATCCCTTTGAGCTCCAAAAGTCCAAAAAGGGCACATATATTTCAACTTTCAATATTCTAGCAAGGAGTTAAAGAGAAAGATGGAGACCTCCATAGAATAGGCTATGTCAATATCACAATTTCAGCAACAACTTGAAAAATTCACCCTTGACTAATTGGGTTGGTATTTTGTGGTCCATCAATCTAAAAAATTATGGCCACAAATCTTAAAATAAACAGGTATATTATTTATAATTTTCCAACAAATTTCAATGAATTTTTTGACCATCCGACAATCATTTTAAACTTTATTTCCATTTTATCCTGCCCTTTAACTTATTTTTAAAATAGTGATAACTTCATACTTGAAAACACTCTACAATATTTTTTTTTCTTTTTCTAATTACATAATTTAAAAAAATAAAATGAATAGGGAAAAAATAAGAGAGTTGTAGGGAGAAAGAAGAGAGAAAATTAAGTTATTTAATATATCTAGGAATGTGTAAATTAAATTATTTGACATTAAGAGTCGCACTTTTGAACAAGAAAGTTTTAAGATAAATTTTGCATTATTTGTATCAAAATAGATTTAAAAAAAATTAAATCAATCTTAACCATTGTTGTACTTTTATAAGTTGAAAATTCAAATTTCTAACTGTAATATTATATAGATGACTAATTCATCTTTTTCGATATTAAAAAAAAAAATTTGTATAGTGCTTTCAAGATTTTCTGTTAGCCACACTTTTATATTTAAAAGGATCTGTTCAAATCACATTTTCATGCCACCAATGATAAGACAAAGAAATAGATTAAAACTAAAGGTAAAATAAAAATAGAATAAAAGGTACTATAATGACTTCTTTTTTTTTTTTTTTTGTTTTTGGTACAACAAGGATCGAACCCGCAAACAACACGGTTGGCCTAGGTCCTGCTATAGTAACCCATTCAAATTTCCACTCTCTAATCATAATAGTACTTGAAAACTCGATGTAACGTACAACAAGGATCGAACCCGCAAACAGCACGGTTGGCCTAGGTCCTGCTAGTGTAACCCATTCAAATTTCCACTCTTCTAATCATAATAGTACTTAAAAACTCGATGTAATGTATTGCTAAACTTTCTAGTGACCAGTCATTTCCATACCAACCTGATAGAAGAAACCCACCAAATTCAATCCAATTAATCAACAAAAGATTTTCCATATCTGGATGACCGTCCAAAATTTCATAACGGATGGAACACCTATGGTTGACACTTGATGGTGCATTGCTCCCACAGTATACCCCACGAGTAAAAATCAGGACTCGCTTCATATACTTCTATGAGATCAGTAAGGGTAACATGATATCATATCGCGTTTTAAATCGCGTCATATCAACATTAAACTACATATAAGCCTATAAGGTCATTATCAGAGAGGGAAATAAAGCAGAAGATGCCAAAATTTTATGATACCAATTTGCTATCGGGACTTTATAAGATCAGATTCTAGGAAGGCAATTATGAAAGCAGATTCTTAACCAACTTGGTTGTGGGTACCGTCCAAGCAATAGAAAGGGAGAAAGAAAGAAGCCTGCTTTTCCTTGAAGATAAGATGACTCCTCCATCCATGTTGAACGGTGCCTAGCATTTCAACTATTCAACACTCAAGTTACAGAGCAGTGCACAGGACCAGTGCACCGTTTGGTTCTCGAGAAAACGGAAGAAAATAAAAGAATTCTGAAAATCAATAGTCTCAAAACAGGACAATGATTTATGACGCACAGCCAGATTGTTCAAGCTTCAGGTTCAACGACACATATATATACTGGCTTTCAAACAATAACTATACTTTCACACTCCCCCCCCCCTTTTTTTTCTCTCCTTGCATTATGTAATTTCACATATATTTCAATTCCACATTCTCTCTCCCTCTCACAATTACTTGTATGTACATTCTCCCTCCTTTCCTCCTCCGCTACCCACCTATCTGAATTGAATGCAGGTTTACCTAAACTACATAGAAATCAGCAACCACGCATTAGCTAAAAGAAGAGGAACTGTTGGTTCAATCTGAACTGCACCACTGAAACAAGAGCCAAAGCAACTCAAATTGTAAATTAAACTCTATACTGACCCCGATACATATACTAGATGTAACAGAAAGGATGTTTTTTTCCTAAAGAGTCAAGATTAGATACCACACAAATTGGCAAGCTAATAGAAAACTCTCAATTCTTGCTAAATGCTAGTTTACCTGATCTTAAGAGCATCAAATTGCTTCTTTTTGACAACTTTCCTGCACCAACTTCTTTGAGGGGTATTTGTTTATGATGGCCATTGCCACAAATATTTAACATGTAATTTGTTTTCAAATGAAGATAAGAAATCTTCTAGCAAGTCAAAAGTTGCAGTGCTCTCACCTATATCAAGTTTAAAAAATGCGTATCACTAAGATGTAAGATCAAACAAAAACGATAAATGAATGCTTTCCTATCTAAGTGGCCAATACTAAATCCATGAGGACCAATGGAAATTAGTGGACAACAATGTGCAGTGTAAGATTTTCTGGGACCCCATGACAGATTAGGCAAAAAGATGCAACTAGTAGCCCATGTGTCTTTACTTAAGAATTCTTATGTCCTAGAAAGTAGAATAAGACCAGTGCCTATCACATGGATAAACCGATTATGTTATAGAAGAAATAGTAAGTTATAGAGATAAATCTTTAACTACCTGGATCATGGACAAAAAAGATTAAATAGAGTCTGAAAATTCAACGCGTAATTCTGATTAATAAAGGGTAACAGTGATCCTTCTCATAGTTGGGCCAGGAGTCATCACTGTTAACGAATGCCTGATGTCGCCTCCAAACCTCTGGGTCATAAATCTCAGTTATGCCGAAATGCAAGCCACTCTCTTTAACTTCCAGTAGAAATTCATCCAATGAGTCACCCCGTTTGGGACTGAAAAATATGGCTTCAGAGGGCCCCTCATTTTTTAGCAAAAAATTGACAGTTTGAACAAGGCCTTTGTGGAATTCCTTAAAGAAAGTACTGCAAAACCACAAATCAAAGTCAAGAGCTTTAAAAAAGAGAAGTTCCTGAAGATAACAATAAGAAAATTAAGCATCACAGTACTTGCGTCTGCATCCGTTCATGCATCGAGTGTTATGTACAAGTGGTTTTTCTCAATTATCAAGAACCAGCACACTTAAACATGTCCGTCAATTGAAAAATTGATACCAACAAAAACTCTGTTGCTTAATCATGTCATAAATAAATTATATGCATTGAAGCAGGTTAATATCCAGGGCGTCCACCAGACAGAGAAAAAGTTCTACAGTGTCATACCATGGAATGGACTTATAATGACTCTCAATGCAGAACCCAAAATGAACAAACTACATGTCTTCCCCAAACAGTGGGAGAAAATATCTCGATTAACAAGCATTTACTACAACTTTTAAGGGATATACAAATCAGAACCCCATTTCCTTGAACAGTGAAAAATAGGGCAGGGCAGAACATGTTAAACTGGAAAGTTCCACTACTCATTGGGGAGAAAATTAAAAGCAAAACAAGGAAATAGAAATTTAGTTCTGTGACTAGTCAATTACCAGTCACTTGCAACAATGACATCAAATGTGTTGGAGATATCTGAGATTTCTTCTTGATTCCAATGCAGCATCATAGACTTCACTCTTGTACCACCAAATGTGGTGGAATTAGCCTTTATGTTACACTGAATATCTGGATGTTAAGAAGCACAGACACATTTAGAAAGATAGGTTTCTGTGTTTAAGACGTGTCTGACAGTCCTGGGATGTCCAACACACTGTGGTCATGTCTATATTGCAAAACAAAAGAATCATTTCGGAACATATGTCAAACATTCTTAGAAGTAAGAAAATTATAATTGCTGATAGTATAAAATTAAAATCCATAATAATTTTTTTGCAAGCAACTACTGCTTTTAAAAGCAAAAGCAAGGCAACATTAGTAGAAGTCCTTATAATTAGGTTAGGTTTGCTTCCTGTACTTTATATAACATGACTGATCATTAACTATTTTTCTTTTAAGTCCAACATTTCACCATTAATCAATTTAAGATTTACTTTGTACGTTTTGAAACTAAGTGTCCTGATACTATTTTTCAGGATTTTCTGTCATAGTGTGTTGCGTCTGTTTCTTGTGCTTCTTCGCTATAACAAGCGCATGGATACCTATTCGTTTACAGAAATACCAACTTCAATGATTGAGTTGATACTGTGGCTTATTTATTGTCAAAAACAAAGAACAAATGTTTTACCTGCTAGCTGTATATGTTTTACGTTATCTGCTGCTGCAAAAGACCAAAATGAAGCATACAGTGCATGAAATCTCCCCCTATTAAATTCAGTTTGTGGGAGGACAAAATGCATATATTGTCCTCACAACAGATGGATTTTGCCTACAGAAATTTTTTTTAACACAATCAAAATGAAAGGATACAATCAACTACTTGAGGGTTTCCATCTGATATCACAACTTCTAATGCTTCAGTGACCACTGCCATAACTAAGCCAGCTAGACCGTAGCCTGATCCAAGTTCAATGACTTTTTTAGACCTGGAAAACAAAAGGAGGGTAGCGAACCCATAGAATTAGAATGCAAACTATGGTTTACCACGTCAAGCAACCAACACACCTGAGAAACAGCGGTTGAGTTGTCAAGCACCGAATAGAAATATGATATTGTGCAAGAAACCTGAAATTTTCTGTGTGCACCATGCAGTAATAAGCAAGAACATCCTCTGACGGCCAATGACCTGCGCAAAAAATACATGTGGACCGTAAGCATACACAAGTAGGAGGGACAAAATATAGCAATTATAATAGCTCATGGAAAATATGAAGCGGCTCAATTCTTTGGTCAAAGCATTATAAGTTGGAAAAAATAATAAAGACAGAAACACTTGTGCATGTGAATTCGTGAAAAATTGGACAAGTGAGGGTTTTGTTGAAGGATAAAAAATAAGACAATGTCATTTTCTTAAATGTTTGATGGAATATAGTTCCTAAGAAAACTATCATTAGGGGAGCTATGATAGTACTTCTAAGAACAAGTTTACTACCTTTATAAGTGCTAAGTCTATCAAAAAAGTTGTTACTTCTTTTTGAAAAAAAAAAAAAGAAGTATGATCACTAATACTTCATGTAAAGAATTCTAACCCTCAAGAACAACTCCTTTCACCTCAAACAAAGCCTTAAACCTCAACTACTCAGGTTCCAAAACATTAATTACTTCTTCATCTTTAAGAATTACTCTGGCAGTTGCATCAAGATTATGGTACCTCTAGTTCAAGAAGTCTTGTGAAAACAGAAAATATGGACAGACTATTGCATTTATCAAAATGTAAATTGTCCAAAGTATATTGTGTCTTGCTCTGTGCTGTCATTGAATACCTGCTAGCATTCATCAGTCCCTCTTGTACGTAAGCACATATGATTCAGCTAACCTCAATATCATTGCACACACTATACAGACTACTAGGAAGTTATATGAATAACTTGTCAATGCACCACTATACCCAACATGAAACTTAGCCTTCCCTAAGATTATCAGAGATGTATAACACCTTTCATTGAACCGCCAAATAAACGCCCTCCAATGAAAAATAAAATTATTCTTCAAAAATAAATTTGTAAGAGAAAAGAAAACTTACAAACAAGTCCTGTGTTGTCAATATTAAATCTGTTACAGATCTCAAAATCATGTAGGTCAGCCCGATCGTCCACTCTCTGACTACATCAAATTGCACAAGTTAGCAATCATCACGATTATACGAGAACAAAACCTCCACACTGATATTGAATCCTTAAGTTAGCCTACCACAAGAGTAGCAGAGATTCATTCAATTCAGTGCTCAAAATCATCCCCAAATAATCCCCACCCCCCCCCCCCCAAAAAAAAAAACTTGAAAACCCCAATCAGTCCGACTAAGTCTTCTCTCTGGTATCTCTTTCTTCTCCCTCTATTACGGATGCTGAATAATTGGTTTTTTGATCGTAGGATTCTAAGGAAGAGTTGCTGATTTTAATCTTAATTTCCGGTAGATGTTATTTTTTTAATTATCAATTTTATTTATTTTTTGAATTTCTAGTACTACAATAAGATGCATAAATTCAAAACAGTGAAAAAGGTGGTATTCATGAGCATCAGGTGTTTGATGATTTAATAGCTTATAATAATAACATCAATACTCACTTAAGAAAAATTTTGGGAGCACTATCAATTGGCAATGTATAGCAAATGCGGATGTCTCTAGAGCTACTGCCCAAGTGATTTGCTTTTGAGAAAGAATCTGAATTTTCTTCGTTGTGGCTTTCTACCAGATGGTATGGTATCAAGTTGAACCCGTGATTCGTCTTCCTAGATATACGCCTGATACTCATTTCAGATTGTTCATCTGCAAATGGTTTAATGTACGTATACGATCAAGATTCAAAATAACACCCAACAATATGCTGAGAGAGCGACAGAGAGAACCTGTAGAGGGTGAAGGACGACGAAGAAGGGCGCGTCGAAGAATGCCCCACCTAATTGACGAAGCCTTTTGGGTCGCACTGCTACTACTACTACAATTAGCCTCCATGTCTCCCTCTTTCGCCTCCTCGCTCCTTGCTCGCACTTGTCTCTTCGTATGAATCGTATGTGATTGTCTCTTCGTATTAACAAAGCTGCCCACTTAAATACATCATATAAAAAAAATATATTTTAATAGAAAAATTCACATTTAATGTAGAATAGAATATGATTATTAAATTTGACCCGAATGTCATAAGTTTGAGTCATGAAAATAGTCTTTTCACTTGTAAGAATAAAATTACTTATATCTAACTCACTCAAACCTTGCAATAGGACGAGTCTCGTGCACTAAATACGTCTTTTATAAATATGACTATTAGATTTTTTTTAAAAATGAAATCTAACTTTAAAGGCTTTAAGTAAAAGATTGAGTCTCAAATAAAAATTTAAGGCACCCTTTGTTTTTATACTGATTTAGATACAGTGTTAGAGAAGATTTTTAACAATTTTTTAATTAAATTTAAAAAAAAAAAAAAGTAAAAACCGGAGATGCTCTAAGTAAACCGAGTCAAGAGATTCAAAGAAGGTTTTTTTTTTTTTAAATAAAAAAAGTAGTAAGAACATTATTACATATATTTGGCAGTAGGTTGATCCCTGACTTCACCACTTATGAATTTATGTGATGAAAGATTTGAGTATATTTAAAGCTTGTAAATTTACTGTATCAATTAATTATTCTGAAAGTATACATATATTTAATCCGTTGGGCAAGAAATGGTAGTGATTGATTCGAGACGATGGTTCAAAGAATTGTTCTTACTTTTTATTTTAATGTCTTGACATTCCATGAAAAATATTTAGTTTAGTGAACTTATGGTCAATTTAAATATATCGCGATAGATTCTACCAGTCAGAATTATTGTATTCATTGATAGTGTGAACCGTCCAACAACAATCTATCCTTAGTATAGTCTAAATCTCTTATTCTGCAAAGATACCATAATTCATCATCATAGTCACCCAATATCTCTCATTCGCATAGCTTTAACATTTATAAATTAGATTTTGTAATAAATATCATACAAAAGAAAATATTAACTTAAAACGACTTCCTTCAGCATCCTTTAACCACTAACTGGGCATCCTTCAACAACAATACCTTGTGCGGTTGGGCAAGAAGCCAAGGGGCATCCATCTGCTTCAGTACCCCACCAGTCAAGGCTAATCTGCTCCATCCCCAAACAGAAATACAACAATATTCCCATGAAAGCTAATCCAACATCCAGTGCACCAGATAACACATAGTTATGGCGACTCCACCAGCCACGGTAGTATCTATAAGCAACAAAACCCGAGAAAAAACCGATAATTATCCAGCTGGTGTAATTCACAGCAGTAGCTGGAGGCATCTGAATCGTTGCATTTAAGAGCACAGGCATTGAAATAAGCCTTATCCAATGCTGGTTAGGGAAAGCCTTGTGCGCAAGCCAAACTAGGAGAGGGGCTATAGCACCAAATAAGAAAAACCAGTTGATGGAAGAGTAGTGCCCAAGATCTCCAAAAATTCTCTGCGGACCAATCAGACCCCAGATGACCGAGGCATCATAGAACACTTTGTCTGTCGGGCAGGTCCATGGGCTTCCGGGTGGCAGTAGGGCCTGGTTGCATATGTCAGGGACTGTGTCCATGAGCCACCATGCTGTTCCTAAATGCACCAATGCTGATATGAGAGTACCAACTACCTGATCATGCACAAGATCAATCGCAAAAGCATCAACCTCTGAAGAACTGAAAACTTTAATCCCATTGTATATGTTCTCTCTGGTTTGCTAAAAGGACACAAAATTTACCTGGGCCATGAACATTGCCCGAGGAGGAATTTTCATATAGTGACCAAGCTTGAAATCTTGTAGAAATGTGATTGCCTGCTTCATACTGATATATCCATACACCTTAAAGCACATATTAGCAACCGGATAACCAGGATATAGATACCCGATAATGTACTCTGTGATCACATTCAAGCCCGGCGTCTGTTTGCAAGAGGTTATTTTAGTACAATTTTTACTAATTTATACTACTTGGAACAAAATACTATAGAAATTGACTAATCTTGCATAAATACATATTTGTCTAAGGAAACGGATTATACAGGCTCCTTAACCTCCGAAAGCAATTTCATCCAAACACTAATAATCTTGTGAGCAAGAAAACTGATATTGTGCATTGTATAAAAACAAGTACATTTTTTTTTTTTTTATAAAAACAAGTGCTTATAAAGCAGCAGACTTTGAGGAAAAAAAGTGTATAGGCATACATTGTTTGTTGTGGCGGTGATGACACCAATGGGAAGTGTGAAAAAGAAAGCAATGCCGCATGCTAGCAAGACGCCCCACCATGGTAATTGGAGTTGATTCTTATAGTAATGACATGCAAATATGGTTGCTGCAATGTTTAGCAACAGCATACATGTGAACCAGCATTCAGGAACTTGCTTGTATTTTCTCATAAGCCTGGTGTGCACGTCCATCTTCGCCTCTTGAAAGGCAGACTTGCTTTGCTCCCACAATTCTCTGCATCCTTGTATCAATGAGTTCCACTTAGAGTTTGCCATATGATACAGATGGTTGGATATTATTTTGAAGTAAGAACTACCCATAAGGACAATTATAGTGTAGCTTTCATGAAAAGGTTATTGGAAAGAGGTTGCTTGAGCAATTTGAAGAGAACCTTAGAGAGATGGATACTCACTGATTTTGAGTGCAGATAGATAGATATACTCGATGGACGAAAAACATATGGTTGACAAATTACAAAAATAAGGAACTAGATCTGCCTGAATATTACCTTCCATGGAAGAGGAACACATGAACAACAGTGGCAGTGACGCAGGCAAAGCAGACACCATAGATCATGACAAAAAAGGTACTGAGATAGAGAGGGCCCTGACGTTCATATGCCTCCATGTCAATGTGAAAGTTGGGGTCTATAATGGCTGAAATGTTATACTTTTGGCCACTAGCCGTAAAGAGGTCATCAGAGAAAATGGGAAAGTTCTTGGCCTTGTAGATATTGAGCCAATAGGCAGCTGGAGTTATTACATACATGACAAGGGCAAATCCCAGAGCAACATTGGCAGTAGCAAACCATGGGCTAGCCAGTGGGCTCCCAAGATAAGCAGATATGCTAGACCAATCGAATCCGAGTGCACCAATGCCTAGGCCATGGAGACCTGAACCTAGCTGTTGGGCCAGGATGGAATGAGGGAACATCCAACATAACCAGGAAACAGAGGTCAACATTGGGAAGAAATATCCTGGAAAGACATAGTAAGCAAAACTGCAAGTGAAGGCAATGAGGAAGAACTGGTTTCTTGATAATCGACCCTTCGGCATCTCCTCTGTCTCATGCAATGTCCTGCCATTGTTCATGATACTTTTAACCCAGATTGTGAAAAAAAAATAAGCAAACTAAAATATTAGATACAACAGTGGTAAGTTACTGTTCAACATTACTGCATATGCTGGTCTATCATTCAGGTGTATGGAAAGGTGCCACGTTTTATCATGTTCAACAAAGACAAATGTTGCACTATGAACTTTAGACCAAAGTTGTTCGAGCCAGAATGATAAAAATTCATGCTTCAGAACTTCACAGAAGAAGAACCCATCTCCAATCAAAAACATAATGCTCCGATAGAAAAATGGAACAATGGAAAGTTGGAAGGATGAAAAATTAGAGGGATAAATAAAACATCATGTTTGATAAAAAAGGAAAATAAGAAAGATGGAAAAGTTGATAGATTAATTTTTCTTTCAACTCATCCAATTCAATCCCTTCAAAATCGGAAAGAAAGTGGAAAGAAAGTTAATTATTTGTATTGAGATATATCTTATTTGTTTATATATCTTTTTATATATACATATATTATGTATACATTAATTTCATATAAAAATATAATGATAAAATATGTATTTGTATATATTTTTTTTAATAAAATTTAAAAATTAAAAAAAACATATTTTTTCCATTTTAGTTGGGGGTAAAAATTTTTGACTTAACACAATAACACTACTTGAACTCGACACAAATTGTATGACACGAACTTGATTATAACTCGACAAAAATTTGAAAATGACCTGACACGCAAACAAGAAATATAAATGGCTCACATTCAGTTTAACCCGTGAAACTCTTTTTGCATCATCACATGCGGATCCTGAAGGTATTGATCCTGGGGTCGTCAACCACCGCCTCAATGTCGACCCTCACCACAAACCTGTTCGCCAAAAGTTAAGGGGTGCCTCTACTGAAAGGGCCCGAGCAATGGAAAAGGAGATGAAAAAATTGATAGAGAACGGAGCGGTCAAAGAAATAGCCTATCCTGAGTGGCTCTCAAATGTGGTGATGGTGACTAAAGCTAATGGGAAGTGGCGCCTCTCCGTCGACTTTACTGAGCTCAACAAGGCGTGCCCAAAAGACAGCTACCCATTACCACGAATTAACCTCCTCATCGACGCCACCGCGGGACATGAACTGTTCACCTTCTTGGATACATATTTTGGGTATAACCAGATTAGCATGCACACCCTAGACCATGAGAAGACATCGTTCATCACATCAAAGGGGACCTACTGTTATAGGCTCATACCCTTTCGAGTTAAAGAATGCAGGAGCGACTTATCAACGTTTAGTAAACAAGATGTTCCAGTCGCAGATCGGGAAAACAATGGAGGTGTATGTGGACGACATGCTAGTGAAGAGTCTCGTCGCGGCAGACCACATTGACCACCTCCAAGAAACCTTCAATGTTCTCAGATTGTTCCGTATGAAGCTAAACCCTGAGAAGTGCACTTTTGGCGTTGAATCGGGGAAGTTCCTGGGTTTTATGGTCAACCAAAGGGGAATTGAGGCAAACCCTGACAAAATCAAGACCATCCTCGACATGAAGTCGCCCTCCTCCACCAAGGAGCTCCAGCGCCTCAATGGAAGAGTTGCAACACTTAACAGGTTCGTTTCCAAGTCAGCAGACAAATGTCTACCTTTCTTCAAAATTCTCCAGAAGACCTTCGGGTGGGGACCTGAGGCAGAGGAGGCATTCCAAAAGCTTAAAGCCTACTTGGCTACACCTTCACTCCTTTCATATGCTATGTCAAGCGAGACATTATACTTGTATCTCTCTGTTTCCGCGTTGGTAATAAGCTCTATCCTTATCAGAAACCACGACGGTGTACAAAAGCTCATCTATTATGTGAGCAGAGCATACCGAGGAGCGAAAATCAGATATTCGGAGCTAGAAAAGCTAGCACTCGCCCTCATCTCAACAGCTAGGCGTCTACGGTATTACTTTCAGAGTCACAACATTGTTGTCGTCACCGATCAACCTCTAAAAAGAATCCTGGGAAAATTGGACGTATTCGGTAGACTTCTTAAGTGGGCAGTGGAACTCAGCGAATTCGATATTCATTACCAACCAAGAGCAACCATCAAGGCCCAAGCCCTGTCAGATTTCATTGCTGAGCTTACACCGGCATAGGAAGGGAGCAACGAGTCTTCCACCCCAGCCAGCGAGGATACCCAGACGCCTGGCAGGGACCCTCAAGCACCCAAAATGGGCGTACATGCCATCCCAGGCGCCTAGGTCTCCTTCTCAGGCGCCCAGACATCCCCAGACACCCAGCTCTTCTCCTCAGGCGCACAAACACTCTCGAGTGCCCAGCCTGGCATCCAGGCTCCCCATCCTTGTGTCCAAGCTCCCACAGTGATCTCCGAACCTTCCTCTCTACCACTCTGGAAGCTCTACGTGGATGGTTTCTCAACTAGGGAGGGAGGTGGAGCAGGCCTGATCTTGATCAGCGCCGATGACACTCCCCTCAAGTATGCAGTGAAGTTTCACTTTACTACTTCCAACAATGAGGCAAAATACGAAGCCCTACTCTCTGGATTAAAATTGACAACTGAAATGGAAGCCCAACACCTCACCACTTACAGTGATTCTCAATTGATTGTTAATCAAGTAAAGGGTGAGTTCGAAGCAAAAAAAGCCAGAATGCAGGAATACCTCGGTATGGCGAAAAGCTTGATCACAAAGTTCTAATACTTCCAAATCTGTCACATCTCGAGAGAAGACAACATGGCCGCTAATGCACTCATCCCGCCTCATCCATGGAAGTCCCACTAGGAGAACCAGCATTCATTGGTCACCAGTTCGGACTAAGTAAGTTAGACACGGAAACCATAAACGTCAACTGCGCATCAATTGAGTCAAACTGGATGACCCTGATAAGAGCATACCTCCAACAAGGTGCATTGCCAGAGGACCCTCTAGAAATCAGGAAGCTTAGGATGAAAGCCTCCAAGTTTACTATCCTACAAGACACCTTGTACAAGAAAGGATATTCCTTACCATTACTGAGATGCCTCTCCCCAGAAGAAGCTAACTATGCCATGTGAGAGATCCACGAAGAAGTTTGTGGAAATCATTCTAGAGGGCGCTCCCTCGCTCACAAGGTACTCAAACAAGGCTACTTCTAGCCTAGCATGATGAAGGATGCTCAGGAATTCACCAAAAAATGCGACGAGTGTCAGTGCTTCGCCACTGTGCCCAGGCAGCCTCCAAAGGAACTGATGGTCATCACAAGTCTGTGGCCCTTCTCCAAATGGGGCATCGACATCCTGTGCCACCTACCTCTTAGTAGAGGATAGTGCAAGTTCGTGGTGGTAGCAGTGGATTATTTCACTAAATGGGCGGAGGCAGAACCCCTAGCAAAAATAACAGACACAAAGGTGAAAGATTTCATTTGGAAAAATCTGGTCTATCGCTTCGGGATACCCTACGCCATCGTCAGCGACAACGCTAAACAGTTTGACAACAAGCTCTTGAACTCCTTCTGCTCTGATCTTCAAATAAAACAGCCTCATTCAAACCCGACGCACCCGCAGGCAAACAGACAAGCAGAAATTATGGTGAGAACGGTACTATGCAACCTAAAGACAAGGCTTGAAAAGGCGAAGAGTCTTTGGGTTGACAAGATCCCAAGTGTTTTATGGGCCTACCGCACCACACCAAGAGCTCCAACTAAGAAACTCTATTCTCCCTAGCTTTTGGAACAGAGACAGTCATCCCTATGAAAATCGGGATGCACTCTCTAAGGGTCCAACACCACGACCCTATCACCAATGAGGAAGGACTCCGCATCAACCTCGACTTGGTAGAGGAGGCAAGGGAGATGGCTGTGGTCCGCAATGCGGAGTACAAGCGCTGCATGGTAAAATACTACAACTTGAGGGTAAAGTCTCGTTCCTTCCAAACAGGAGACTGGGTCTTCAAGAAAGTGATAATCGCTACAAAGGATTCACGCGAAAGAAAGCGGGGACCAAATTGGGAAGGACCATACCTCGTAACAGAAGTGGTGAGGCCAGGCATTTACAAGATCCAGAATTCTAAGGGAAAGATCTTACCCCATCTATGGAACGCAGAGCACTTGAAGAGGTACTACCAATGACACCTTGAAAGAGTAAAAAAGTTGGGGACTTGGTTTTATTTATTACTCTTTCGTGGGACTATTACCCGATATTGCTTTATACTAGCAGAATGTTTTATATGAGCAGAAAAATGAATAAAATTTCTAGATTTACTTCAAAAAAAGATTTTTGCATATTCATATTTAACTTCTCAACTTCAAAGTAACATCAGTGACAAAATATCACATTTACAAAAGTATGGCTACAAAATGCCAATATACTTTTTTTTTAAAAAAGAAAAAAAAAACCAAAAAGTCTCTAGCACGCTAACTACTAATGGTCGTCATCCTCCTCCTCATCGTCATCCTCGGCATCGTCAAAACCTCCATCACTATCATCAGGCGTCTCGGTTGGCAAGAAGTCTGAGACATCAATATTAGGAAAAGCAGCAGAAATCTTTCCTCGAAGCTCCTTATAACCATCAATGAAGGCATCTGCAAGGCTAACCTCCAAGTCCCGCTCAGCTATCACAGCTCTCTCATGAGCTGCCTTTACCTCTGCCTCTAATGCAGCCTCTCTGAGCATGGCCCTCTCACGGACCTCCGTAAGCTCAGCCTCATGCTTGACCGCCCTCCCATGGGTCGTCGAAAGCTCAGTCTCACTGAGCGTGGCCCTCTCACAGACCTCCACAAACTCAACCTCGAGCTTGGCCACCCTCCCATGAGACACCGAAAGCTCAGCCTCACTGAGTATGGCCCTCTCACGGGCTTCTGCAAGCTCATCCTCAAGCCTGACCATCCTCTCATGGGTCGCCAAAAGCTCAGTCTCAAAACCAACCGCCCTCTCGCGGGTTGCCACAAAGTCAGCATCAGAAGCCCTGCCAGTAGCTTCAAGCTCGGTGATCCTCCTCTGAGCAGCAAGAAGCTCATTTTGCACCACTTCATGATCGTGTTTCAGCTTGTGATAA